AACTATACCCATTCGTCTTCCTTGAAAAGCCTATTCTTGTAGTTTTAACAGAATAGTATCATATTGAATAGCTTAAAGTATTTTGCATGGTTTAATATTTCTGTCTCACTACCAGCAGTATCATTTTCAGGATTGACAGTCCAAAATCGTTCTTTTCAATAACACTTTTTATCTCGCTCCTCATAAAGCTAATGATTTTCAAAAAACCTTCACCATAGTGTTCTATGATAAGGCTCTGACAGTAGTTTATAAAATCCTTGTATTGATATAAAAAACCATATCTTCTTCCTTTAGTTTTTGCTAAGAAATTTATTTGTTACATCTTCTTGAAAAAGAAAGAATAACATCACAGATAGAATCTTACCATTTTTACACCGTACGTTTAAATTAAAAGAAAATATACATTGTGTTTTTTTTAGGTTCTTTGCAAAAAATTTTCTTAAAATATTTTTTTAGATATTATTATCAAAAATACATATGAATACAGTAGAAAGATTTTATTATTGCTGATATTACAAAGCGGTTTTCTCGCATTTTCTATAACCATATAAATGTGACCGTGTTTCAAAAACAGCTCATAATTCCTTTTGTCCTTGTCTTTTGCTGCTTCAATTTTGCAAAATAATTGGGCACGTCTATTTTTATCCTTGGTAAGTCTTCTTGAATATCGTGGATAAAATGCGCTTCTTATTGTCTGTGGCATCAGAATTTTAACCGTGATATAAATGACGGAAAAGATACAGCCGGACTGTTTTTAAGAAGCTATTAGATTGGAAGAATGACATCCTCGTTTGGTTTTGTAGCTGTATCAACGTCAGAAGTCTCTTTCGTAAACAATAGACACTTCTACAACTATAACTGTTGATTCATGAAGGAATATATACAGGGTAAGTAAAATGCTTTAGTACAATTGAGGGCCAGCACGTTAATGTGATTTTCCGTAGATACTATTCAAAAATTAAGAAACTAAGTTACATATGAATTGCCAAAGTCTTAAACAAAACGTTCCCATCATTTTTTGGCAGTTTAATTATGCAGTCCTCCAAAGCAGTATCTTTTTTTCTTATCTACTGTTCACTTGCTAAGAGGAAAAAAAAGAAATCTTTTTTATCCGGATTTTCCTTGTTACGTAACTGCACTATCCTCCACTAGTTCCTGCCGTTATCGGTACCGTCATCTTCGCTGTTCTCTCCTTTCTGGTACGTTGTCGCTCACAATTTATAATGTAAAAGCAATGATGTTTATGTGTGCAACAAAAAAAAAAAAAATAAACCTAACAGATGTGATTTCTTGCTTTTTTATACTTAGATATATAGCGTATCTTATATAGATTTTATGCGTTAACTATTATCTGCTTGGATATTCTAATATGGATTTTTGCTACAATTTATGTATTCACTGCTTTCTGTTCACTCTGGTATGAACTTTCGTTTAAGCTAAAATAAGGACTGTAAAAACAATAAATATGGGTTTCTTTAGACAACAAGAGCTTTTCGCAATAGATTTGTAAATTAGTGCCGTATCTGGTTAATAAGTGCATAAATCTAATTAAACTGGTTATCTCATTCCGCTTGATTTGCAGTAATCTTGCCCGCTTTTCCCTTAAACTTTTTATCTTTGTTTCATGAAGAAGTTTCGAACTTAATGCGGTGTAAATTGACCACTGAAAACGACTGTCAACCGATAATTGCCGATTATAGTTTGATGTTGATAAAAAGCTGTTTTAAATAATTTTTATCACCTTATTCCTCCTGATAATGATCTGTCGTCTTTTCCTCAAGCACCCAGAAAACTACGCTTTTCACTAATACTTACTCTCGGTCTTTCTTTGTTAGCTCATACTTCAACTAAACGTTACAAATTTGGTCGCAACATATCAGATTCGTTTAGCGCGCCAGCACAACACT